CTGTCGAAACACTGCAAAGAGTTAACAGAAATCCTGAGAAAGTGCTAGGAAATATTGTTATTATTTGTAACGACCAAACGAAACGTAATTTTTGGAAATTGGCGAAAGTGGAGCAACTACTCCGCGGTGAAGATGGGGTTCCTCGTGCTGCTGTTGTCAGAGTTTTTCGTGAGAATTCAAATAATTCGCAGTTATTAAGACGCTAAATCTAGCACTTGATCTCTATTGAAATGAGACACGAAAGTGAGACCGACGGATTAAAGAACGCAGATCAAGAAAGTGAAGAGACGGCGAACGCACAAATATTACGTCCAACTGAGCGACCGCAACGGAATGCAGCCATAACCGGACAATTGAAACGGTTGAAACAGATGGGCAATTTGTAGAACAGTTAAATTACAGTCTATTGACATTTTGATTTTTAAATACGTTCAGACATTTTATAGTATTTCGAAGACTTTGTCGACTCGTTATGAACATGTCAACCCTGGGGAGTGTAACATACGTCATAGCGGAACATATGTCATAGCGGAAGTAAAATGGGCAGAGCACGCAGTTGTTGTTGTCTTGATAGTGTACAAAATGTAGGGTAAAAATATATATGTTGTTTTGTATGGTTTTATATGCGATTGTTTTTACCGTTTCGATGAGAAGTACGAGAGAAATAGTGGAGTAAAGATCGATTAAAACACAGTGTTCGCTATCCATGACAGTCGGCTACATATTTTGAGATCAGTGAAGATGACCACCCATGAACAGTGAACCATAGCCATGCGCCCGCGATAGTTGATTAACTTTAGACTTCCCTAGTGCATTCCTTTCCCCCAGGTGTAAAGAACCAGGCGGAATTAGTACCCTCGCAATTATTGGCTCAGGAAATTGCACTTAATTACAGTCGTTTACGTATTTTTGTCATATCTGATGTTTTGTATGTGATTAATAAATGTGCATGTATGATATTTCAAATGTGTCCAATTTACTTAACATCTTCTGTCAGTAAATTCAGAATTTACCATAGCGATTAAGGTGGAGTAATACCGGTCAATACGGGAAACAAAACTCAGTAGTGCTGCAACTTGCAACAAAATCTGATTTTTACGCATGTTAATTGAAATGTTTACACATACATCACAAACCACGAGGCAACATGTGTCAACATTTCAACTTAACATGCGTTGAAATCAGATTTTGTTACAAGTTGCAACAATTTTGTTGTTCGTATTACTCCAGCTTTAGCAAACAATGCAGGCTACCCACATGTACGCAGTGCGTACCTATTTTTAGAAATAGTTAACATGGCTTGCTTGTTCTTACAAGTAATTTATACAGGAGAGGGATTATCCATGAAATGGGAACAGACAGTTGGGTATTTATTTTGAATTCCGGTTTCAATGATTTGGCGCGTTTATGCAGTTTTGTTGTGTTGTGGTCTGACTCCGTTTATGTTTTCTGCGTTTTCTGATTTGTTTATGTAACTTTTTTGGCGAATTAGTGAATAAATGACCCAATAAAATAAAATAAGAAACTTTGCTGTACTGCGGTAGAAAGGTTTTGTAAATGGAAATTAGTGTGAATTTTAAATGAAAATCACACTCGAAATTCCCGTCTACAAACCTTTACTTTACCATACTGTATTGTCTGTAATAGATATTTCTGCCACACAATGAAAGGTAAGAAATGCGAGTAGTGACAACTTGAGCCTTAATTAAACGCATTTGAGATTGGCTGCTTATACGGACGATGATCACTCGCAGTTAATGTACTGTATAATGTATAAAAATCACACATCGGTATCAATTGGGAAGACCGAATTATCAACATTAAGGAGATTCAAGAAATATCACTTGGACATGGGCAACCCACGGCGCCGTTTGTTATCCGATAAAAACGTTTTAAATGGTTTGATCATGCCTTTGTTAGGATAAGTCGATATAAGGTCTTTCCCGAATAATGCTTGACTGGATGGCTCATGTATAACATCAAGTATAGACGGGTTGATGGTATCAAGTTGTCATGGAGCAAAAACATACAAAATGATTGTGTGGATCTTGGTGCATCAATTGTAAATGCTAGATGATTGGCTACAGACCGGGTTATAATTAGCTGCTTTTTTCCGACTGTTCTGCACGTGTTACCCGAAGTCGATTGTTTAATTAAATTCTTTTTACTGATGAGACAAAATTCCCGCGTCTGTAATTGTTTAAATATGCAAAAATTACAAAACAATGTACCGCCAGATTTACTTTACTATGATTTAATTTAAAATAACTGCGATTTGTTTACTTATTATTCACATAAAACCTCCTTATCACGTCTGAAAGAAAAACTTTATATTTTAGCTATTGCAATATACGTATATTGGCGTTCTAAAAAAGCATATGCATAAAAGAATAAAGAATCAAGGCAGCTTTCCATACTTTTCATTCTGCTTTTTTTTTCATAAATCCATTTGAAACCATTTTAATGTTAGCCTACTGATGAAGTAATTGAAAGAATAAAAGGGTAACATTTAGTATTGTGTATGATTTAAAGTATATTTGTTGAGGTAATTGCCATTATGTAAAATTTAGAGAGTTCAAAACATTTCCGTGCGTACACACAAGTACGAAAAACGCTTAACTGGAAGACAGCCTTAAATAAAAGACATTTATTCTAAAGAATATATTGAAATGACCGGATAAGTTCTCGCCGCTACCCCGCTTCAGATAAGTGTTTATCCTTTTAAGACACATTACTTGGAAACATGAAAGGACGCGACAACGAATAAATATTCTTTGTTTGCTCTTTCAATTGTTGAATATAGGCTAGGCTAATCTCTTTAATTGCTTTCAGGTGTATTTCGTGCTGTAACGCCACAACTTATCTGAAGCGGATATTTATAACTCGCTGTTATAAAAGGGCAGGGAATATATAAAGTTTGTCACAATCGTTGACTTTAACGAAGAGAGAGGACATATGCTCCTATATCGTTGAGAAACGTAGCAATATCCAGTTCATAAATTTGTTAAGGATCAAACTGTCAGAAATTTGCTTTTACGACAAATCATTCTGGAGTTCAACAACGCTTTCAGAGGTATTGGCCGTTTTTATACTAGAGACGCATTATGCGTCTACTAGAGACGCATTATGCGTCTGGACGCATAATCCGTCTTCTATATTATTCGTCTAGTATAAAGACGGGACGAATAATCCGACGAACTATCAGCATTTATTCTTCGTCTGGTAAAGCGTCCTCAGTATAAAGACGGGCACAAGACGCATTATGGGTCTAGACAAACTATCATCGGTTGTGCATCTCTTAAGACGAAGAATCGAACATAGCTCGTCTAGGCGCATAATGCGTCTTGTGCCCGTCTTTATACTGAGGACGCATAACCAGACGAACAACAAATGCTTGGCGAAGTTCGTACAGACGCAAAATGCGTCTCTAGTATAACAAGACGTCTGCTCAGGTGTTAACACTGGCCTGAAAATGGCAACTTTCGTGGTATGGTGTAATTTGTAGTAGAGAAGTAGATTGGGATACAGGAGGTCTGGACCATATAAATACAACCAATAAATACATTCATGATCAGCAACTATCAACCATATACGCCGGCTCAGACGTACCCTCCGGCTATGGGCAACTCAACCTGACAATTAGCCAGGTCCACTGTAACTGATCATCAACTATCAACCGTAAATAACGATGGGTCAATAATAGCCGCGAAGAAATTATATGGTCCTTGATTTTTAATGCCATTATATGGCTCGTTTCAGGTGCTAAAGAGTTCATAGTCCATAGACATAGACGATTTTTCTAATAAATATGCCAATTTGCTTCCATTTAGTAAGATTAACTGATCCAAAGCCCTTCTCTAATCCCAACCAGTAAACATCTAATAAACATTTTGAGAATTAAGAAAGTGGGTGGAAAAGTTGGATCTTGTTCCAAAACAAATCGAACAGCACCATGTTTCACTTCGCCGCACACAATGCCATGCACCTCGCTGAATACAATCGAAAACATATATTTTATAGTAATATATGATGAATTGGAAAGTAATGTAATTAGGTGCAAATTTATAATTATGCAAATAAATACAAGAGCAAAACGCATGTTTATGAGCATACAACGTATATTTATACTTGTTGATTAAAATGTCAAACTGTCAAACCTTTAACTTGTACATGTCCTTGTTTATATTCCACTATATTTTATAAATTCGCTGTGTCCAAATTTTGGCGTTTTCGAGTCGTTACCCAAAGAAAAACACACTAATTCAACATGCAAAAAAGGCCAGAGTGCGACACAACGTAAAATCAATAGGAAACCGGCACAATTCTTTGACAATTCAACGAAACTGTGTGAAATACGTATTAGATCGCTCAGTGAAAAGCTGCCATTTTGAAACTGAACTGAATATGTCACTGGAATACGTTGCACCCTGAGCCTGCAATGACCTAACGCAAACTCGATTTCTCGACAACGAAAAAAACAGAAAAAGAGGGATATAAGACACTTGGCCTACAGGCCAGTGTAAAAAAGCCATTAATATCAATAGAATGTTAGGGTTTGTAATCCAAGTGAGTATAAAACATTTTAAGACCTGACCAGGAACGACTGCAAAAAATGCAGCACAAGGTCCTCCGGTAGGAATTGACCCTACGACCCTGTGATTCCGGTGCAGCGCTCTAACCAACTGAGCAACAGAGGCCAGCTGTTGAGCTGTAACCGTAAGTTCGTGCATATATAGGTAATCGAGTGTGCGGGTTGTGATAAAGTGGACTTCAATGATTTGTTTCTTGCACTTCAATTGGTGGAATTAATAGCCTATTAGAATGTTAGGGTTTGTAATCCAAGTGAGTATAAATACATTTTAAGACCTGATTACTTGGATTAGAAACCCTAACATTCTAATACTAATTCCACCAAGTGAAGTGCAAGAAATAAATCATTGAAGTCCACCTTATCACAACCCGCACACCCGATTACCTATATATATACGAACTTACGGTTACAGCTCAACAGCTGGCCTCTGTAGCTCAGTTGGTTACAGCGCTGCACCGGAATCACAGGGCCGTCGCTTCAATTCCTACCAGAGGACCTTGTGCTGCATTTTTCGCACTCGTTCCGTACGTAATCCAAGTGAGTATAAATACATTTTAAGACCTGACCAGCTGGTCAGGTCTTAAAATGTATTTATACTCACTTGGATTACAAACCCTAACATTCTAATATTAATTCCACCAAGTGAAGTGCAAGAAACAAATCATTGAAGTCCACATTAAATGGTAATTTTTACGAGTACAAATTATTGTTAATGGACGATACTCAATGCGCTAGACCTAAAAATTATAGATTTAAAATGTCTATGTTAAGCCAACTCGAAAGCTACTATTGTCTAAACAAAGGAAGACTCTATCACAGACTTTCATTATTTGCTTGCCAAACCCGTAGGCTACTACACCCAGTATCGTTTATTAATTATTGTCCAAACCACTATGTTTGACCTATTCATAACTATAACAATGAAACTATAGTTAAACATGGGCAGATATCCGAGTTAGCTTTATCTGCCTATATCATTCTTACTTGGATTGCGAGCTGTAAAGACTGATTTAAAAAAGTCAGTTAAAAAGTTAATCGTTTCACGTTTATCATTTCTAACCGTCCACCAAAAATAATGCCAAGAGTTAGCAAACCACGATCACGAGTTCGTCAGCAGGATCAACGACCATCCAGTATTCAACCGTCCGTCGAAGTACCGAGCAATTTGGGCGAGTTATCAATTTTTAGAGTTGAAGAACCTTTGCCGCGAACTCAACTTTTCCTGCGCTGGCGGCCGACGGGTACTTACAACGCGTCTACAAAACGAAAGAGAACGTCTAAACACGAATACGCCGCAATCCAGCATTCAAACCGTTCCAGTAAACAACACGTTATCTAATTCCAACGCAAGGGAAAGCTTCAGCGCCGACCAACTGGCACAGATCACGCAGATTGTTTCGCAGTCGATTTCGTCTTTCTTCGAAAGCCAACACGCCACAACAACCGCGACCCGTGTAGATGAGCAGCCAACTATCCCGCCACCGCCAACGCCACTCGAAAGGCTAGAACAGCTTGGTCAATTTCCATTTTTAAGTTCCAGCGAGCTCCAGCAGCAGCCGACTTCATCCCATGGACCTGTTGCCTCAATCCAGCAAGCAGATGGGGGGATTCACGCCAGAGATTCCAAACAAATACGTTCGTGACATCGAAAGTGGTGAGTTTTTTGAGCTTGCTAAATTATTGCCAAAAAATTTAAATAAGTTAAATGTTGGTTCCGATTCTTCTGACAACGTGGGTTTCACAATTTCCTCTACGGGAATCTCATTAACGCCGCGCAAGCCTCAAGTTGCTGACTAACATTGAAGAGTGGACAACCGCTTTCAACACGTATATGTTAATCATAGTACAAAAATTTCCAAATCGTGCATCAGAACTTTTACAGTACATGGAAACCATCCGTCATGCGGCAAAAACGCATGGCGGTTTAGGCTGGTGCATATATGATCATAAATTTCGCTATAAAGCCGCTGCGTGTCGAACATTGTCGTGGGCCAACATTGACATGCAGTTATGGTTGCGTATTTTCACCGCTAGCTCTACTCAGTTGCGGGAAGATTATTCCCTTTTTTCTAACGGACCCTTAAACAAAGCTGGGGCAGCGAGGGACGGAATTTGCCACAGCTACAACAGGGGTAGACCTTGCCCATTACGACCCAATTGCCCTTACACTCACCGATGTAACCGAATTGGCTGTGGGGGGAACCATCCTGGGTACCAATGTCCACAATCCCGTGGGGAAAACGATCATAACGACGACCACCCTTCACAATCCGCCCGTAGCTCCGCGAAGACCAACAGAAAATAGAACTGTTAGTTTAAAGTGTAGTATATATAATAGCAGTAATTCAATACCTTTAGATAATACTATAGTTACGA